CATAGGATGTTTTTTTTTTATCTTTAGGTCTAGATATTAAATAATAAAGCACTCTCGCTTCACTCGAGTTCGTCCTTAGGTCAGTAGAACCCTCCGATGCTTGAACTTAAGTCTCCATACAACCGTGTACAAACTTTCATATCTCAATTTCATTCCCTTTAAGGTTTTTCTTTAAGACAAATGATATACTTATGTATTCCTCCTATTTGCAATTTATCTCCATGCCAAATCTTATCAAAATTTGTTCAACGGTTTATTGAAAAATGTTAGCAAAACGGACACGCAGAGCAACTTACGCATTTACAATATTGATTGGTACTTTTAAATACTTAGTCGTCTCAGTGCCTATTTGTCCAAACAACCAATTTACCGAAAGAGTTTTTAATACACAATTATTGACTTTTAATGTCAATTATACCAATACAATCGACGCTATATTTCTATGTATATGTTCAGCCCTTATTAATGTCTCACTGCTAGGCATGTGCCTCCCTTAAATATGAAGAGGATCAGGCAATAGTCCACAACGCCAGCCAAATGCGGCTTGGCATACTTCACATGTCTTTCGAATACCTCCTAGGTTCTCTCAGAAACGCATGTTTTTCTCAAGATGCTTTCCCTCACCGTATAACAAGTATAACACGCCTCACTCGATTTCCTAAGCTAGCGTGTTACCACTGGGCTACCACTGCCTACTGATATGAGTATATAGTAGTTGTATATAAATATATAGAAAGCACTAAAATACATTTTCATCACAAATTGATGAAAATGCTTACAAATCTGTCTAAAGACACCACAAAGCTATTACACGGTATGATTTTCAGGAAAATGTCAAGTTCTAAATATAGACAATTTTAGTTAAACGTAATCGCATTCGAGCACGGAATAAGCTAATTAGCATTCTTACAGAAATAAATCCTGAAACTTTCAGCATTTACAAAGTTACCATTTTAAATGGCTCGGTTCAAAGGAGAACTATGAAAACTATAATTGCATTGATTAAGGTTAACTTAGTTAATTAGAATATTTAGTTAAATATTAACCGTTAGACGATACCGGTTATTTATATATAAAGTGACCCTAAAATAAATATGGTTATTAAACCACTACTTTGTTGTGTTTAAGACAAAAAATATGATGATGATGTTCTCCTAGCCGATTCCGGCCATGGCGGCCAATCTCAATGAGATTAGCCAACTGCGCAGGAGATATTATAGTGCTCAAGTGTACGCGCAGACACAAGGCACTCTCTATTCCTATCACTCTCATACTCCGGTGGGACGACCACTCGACACGACCGGTGAGAGTTAAGGCGCAGGACCGACGGCTTTACGTGCTCTCCGAGGCACGGGGGTGAAACACCGCCAACTTCCCAACTCCGGGCTGTTACTGAGACTTACTATACAGGAAGACTCAATAACTAAACTTGGCCCGACCCGGGACTCGAACCCAGGACCTCCGGGTGTGCAGCCGTACATGCTAGCCACTACACCACCGAGGCAGTTAAAAAATATAATAATAATATTGATAACTAGTGACTTCCCCATGCTTTACTACGTACGCCGAAATAACCTTTATTTCTTACCAAAATTATACTTGTGAAATGATTTCTGTGCCTCCTGTGATAAGTGATATAAGTCGAGTTGTACCCTTTTTGTCATTTTTACATAGAAATAATCAGAAAAAAATTAGGATTTTTTTGGTCTAACTCACGTTCTTCTATCTACTATAGTGTCGGAGATAATTTTGTGCAAAGTGATATAAGTGGCAGTGTTTTTGCAAAAATATCGTTAATATATATTTCAAGTTGTAACCTCTATAAATAATTGCTACACACGCTATTTTTCGTGCTTCGTGGTATAAGTGCGATTGTATTAATTTTCACATTTTATTTTTTAGTAAATTTATCGTGAATATTGATATTATTAGAGTTATATCACTTTGAACAGATTTTTCTTAATACTGATTAGGGTACAATTCAACATGTACCTACTAATCCTTATTCTGTACAAATCAACCTTTATGTGTAAACGAATATAAATTGAATTGTATCTAAAACTCAAACCAAATCTAAATAAAAAATGTGTGAAGAACAAGACGTGCTAAATGATGCAAGTGCTGGGATACACCAATAAACTTTAAACTTTTTTGGTTTTGGGATTTGGTTTGGTTTGGTTTTGGGTTTTATGATGGTATGCAATTTTTTTCGTGATTTTCGAGCAGTGATTTTGCATGAACTTGATCCTTCAAAAACAATTAAGATGAGCTCGTGGACTGTCAAGTGGTTAGTCGTCTTTTACGACACCCTCGGAATGTAGGGTTGGTGACTTTCAGTATTCTCAATCCGTCACGACACGGACAGTTGCAATTAGTAGTTGCCGAACTGAATCAGGTAGGTGTACCTTCTTAAAGACGCTGATTTTTATTATCATTTCTGAAATCTCGAAATACTAAAATTATGGATTTAGCCACTAGTCACATGGCGAATATGAGTTCACAAGTTCTTATTAAAGCTGAAATTGAACGAACAGAACAAAATAATAATACCAATGAAGACGGCTATGAATATCATGTAAGAGAACTTATTGAAGGATCGCTGACAGTAAAACTGAAAGTCCAATCCCTACTATCCACAAACACAAAAATTCAGAAAAATGTGCAGAGAATTTAACAGAAATGGTTATTAACAATAATAAGACAAACGATACAAATGACAATGATTGAAAAAACCCTATGATGATTTAAACCTAACAGATTCATCCAACGATGGTGATTTTGTGATGCGCGACATGGCCACACCACCTTAGAAGAGGCTCTTCAACTGAACTTGACTGTGACGTGAAGCTCCGGAGTGTGTTGAGATAGCGCTGCCCAGCACTCGCCTCCGTATAAAAGGACTGGTCGGATGATGCTCTTGTTTATCTGTTCCTTGAGCTTGGACGGTATTCTGCGATCACAAACCACACCTGTGACCTCCAACTTCTCTTATACAGGCTTAAACTTCGTGATCGATGCTTTCTGAATTTCTTCGACTTAACGGCTGGTTCAAGCTCTATGTGGATGGTGCTGGAGTCCGGACTTCCGCAAGCCATATACTCGGTCTTCGCGACATTTAGTTTGACACCGTCGTTCTCAAGCGTACCCTTCCACAGGTTCACCCTACGCTCCAGCTCTACACGGCTCTTATCAACGAGCGCTATATCATCGGCATACATCATCAGCCATGGAGGCTGGTCCTGGATGCATGCTGAGACCACATCTAGTACTACGTTGAATAAGAGCGAACAGTTATGACCACGGAACCACCGCCTTTTTATCTAACTTTTGTGAAACTATATTAGTTCCCATTGAGAATACTTAAGTTGCATTCGTATTCTAAAATGATGATGATAAGATCTCAATTTACCGCTCTTAAGAATTTTGATATAACTGTGCCTTATTTGTAAGTGAATTATTGATTTTCAAGAAGTTTAATAAACGATGTTTGTTTTTCTAAAACTTGTATTTATTTACACAATAAATATGCATTTTAGTGAGGGGTATAACTTGAGTTGTATTATTTAACACATATTTCAAAAAGCCAAGATTTTGGCAAAGTGATACAATTCAGCTAAAATATGAAAATAGGGGACTGATACGTAAAAAAATCTCTTCTTTGGGGTACGATATTTATCATTTGTTTGAGCAACATTTCGCTAGGAACATATTCCAATGAGTTATTAGATATTTTTACTTCAAGTATATCAATTTACACAACGACAACTTATACGTGCAATATAATTTAACTGTACTTGTACCATTTATCACGTAATTTTAGCATGTACTAGAAATAAAAAAGGTACAACTCACAGTTTTTTCAATAATTACTTTAAAACTATAATATTTACCAGAAAAATTTAAATGCACAGTGAAAGTGAATGTTTTATCTACAAAATAAGGTACTCAAGTTTAATCTAGCCCACTTAGAACGCGAACTAGAATTTTTTAAATCTTGTTTTTGCTCTCCCGTAAAATGTAGATTTTTGACTTGTATCACTTGTCACAGGAGGCACAGATTTGTTCCCAATACAAACTTTCAAACCCTATTTCACCCTTTTAAAGTTTCATTTTTGCGATAAAAGGTATCCTAATGTCCTTCTTCAAGGTCTTTTCCCTCTCTATACCAAACTACATCAAAATTGGTTCTGCGGTTATGGCGTGAAAACGTAAAAGACAGACAGAGTTACTTTAGTATTTACTATATTAGTATGAATTACATAAGCAGCCTCTTGTAGTAAAATATTTTATATTACTAACTGTAGGGAATTACGGAAGATTTCATCCAAATCTGTCCAGACGTTTTAGCGTGAAGGAGTAACAAACATACAAACGAACTTTCACATTTATATTAACACATAATATAATCTATACAATACAATATATATATATATATATATAAATATATATATATATAATATACTGTAGAAGTTGGAAGATAGAAGAGTGAGGAAAACGTATAAAAGGCAGCGCCAGCGCCCGGCGCTCGCTTTTGCTGTTCGGCTGTCATCGGGTCAACATCTCGGCAACGTCATTCTGTCCGTCAGGTTTTTCGTTAGATTGTTACTTAATTGTTGTAATTGTTTTAGAGGTCTTACAATTTTAGTTTTCGTTTCATTTAATTTTGGTTTGTTAAAATTAATTGTTTTCAAAGTAAATTTGATTTGTAAATTGTTTTCTTGAGGGTAGTAATAAATTTGTATTAAAAAAAATAACTTCTGGTCTTATAAATAAGATCAGAAGTGGGATAGGTCTCATTTAGCCCACTTCATTTGTTGTTTTACTGTTGTTGATTGATTTTCTCAGTTCGGATTTTTTGTTTCTTTGTTTACGTTCTATTTTCGCGAGTGTACAAGTTAGTTGCAATATTTGGTGGTGGTTAGTGAATACATAGGTATTTGTGTAGTGATTGTGTTTACTAATAGGTTTTGCGATTCTGTTTTTATTTCGATTTAGTTACAATGTCAGATCGTGAGCGTGATCGTAGTGCGAGCCGTCGCGGTAGTCGCAGCCCCAGTCATGAGCGTCGCAGTGACCGTGATCGGAGTGATAGTAGACGTCGTGAACGATCTCCTGACGAGAATACTCGGTTGAGGCTCGAAATGAGAACAATGATAGCTCGTCTTAGTGCGTTAGAAAATAAGTCTAGGGCTACATCTATTCCAGCGCGTTCGAGTGAGCACATGGCGGGTTCTGGTGTTCGTGATGTGTTAGTGTCAGAAAATGTGCACGATAGATCGCCATCGCGGCGCCGGCAAACACGATTGTTAGGGCGCAATATCTCGCGATCGCCTGATCGCACGGTTTCACGTAGTGTACGTCGTCCGTTGTCGCCGCGGTGTAGGTCAAGATCCCCTAATAAGTATACGACATCGCGGTCACGTGACCACGTGTTGCCTACTCGAGAAGTTAATCAACGCCGACGTTCTCGATCCAGATCGCCACGTCATGGCAGCGAGGTGGATGCGTCGATGCATTCTACCATTACTGATCGTATTGTAGATGTGATTAATTCTATTAATAACGCGGGTAGATTTAGCCAACACTTTTACATTTCTAATTTCGATCCCGACTTACACAACATTGATAATTGGTGTGCGGAGGTAGATCGAGCTAGGGCCCTCAATAACTGGAACGATTTTGAATGCCTTTCGCGAATCGGTAATTGTTTAAAGGGTGATGCACGATTGTGGTTGAACGAGTGGGTAACAACTGATCGTACATGGAGTAATTTTAAAAAGGAATTTAGGCCATTGTGTCCGAAAACACCTGATATCGCGGGTATTTTAGCGGATGTAATTAACACGAACTCCGATAAGTACACTACTTATGCGGACTACGCACGCCGTTCCGTACTCCGTTTACGTATAGTACGTGGGTTGAGTGACGAACTGATTTCGGCTATAATCATACGCGGTATTACTGATCCTAATATTCGTGCGGCGGCAACAAATGCCAAATTGCTACCAAACGATTTAGTTGAATTTTTCTCGATTTATGTTAAGCCGGTGAACAATTCGAAAAGTTCTATGTCGCGTTCGGTTCCGTATAATAGAACCACAGATAAACAGAGCTTTGACGTTGCTAGACGACGTAGTAGTGATATAAAGTGTTACTTGTGCGGACAGTTGGGGCATAGGCAGGCTTCGTGTACTAAACGACCTAGAGTTGATAGAGGCTCGCGCAGTTCTGCAGCCACTTCTAATTCCGCGACTCCGAAGCCCAGCTTTTGTGCCGACTAGATACGAACCGTGCTCGTTTTGTAAGAAACCAGGTCATAAAGAGGACACTTGTTTCGCCAAATAACGGTCCGATGTAGCAAGCAAAGATACAGTTAATTTTTGTAATTTGTTGGTTACTGCTAACAATAGCGACGTAGTGGTAGCCGTTGTTCAGGACATCCCTGTAGATGTCCTTATTGATAGCGGTTCAACTGTATCGCTGATTGCTTCCTCTTTGCTGAAACATTTTAACTGTCCGCGAAAGCCAGGTCTTCGAATTTTGAAGGGTTTAGGTAGTCAGGAAGTGGAGAGTACCTCCTATGTTACTTTGCCGATTGAATTCGATGGTTTAACTCTCGAAGTAGATTTGTTCGTCGTGTCATCCGAATACATGAACGTCCCGGTTATAATAGGTACGGACGTCTTAAATAGAGACGGTGTTAAGTATGTTCGCACTAAGGGTCGTCAGTCACTAACTAGGGTTAATAATTGTTTAGATCAAGTAATGACGATTCAGTCTAAAGCTATTTCAATTAATACACCTCTCGTTGGTATTGAGTTACAAAGGCTGCTACAAATAGTTAATGACTTTTCAACATTTTTTATTTCCGGTACTGCTACTTCGACAGTAAATACAGGGTGTATGTCGATTAAATTAAATTCCAGTACCCCAGTTTACTACCGTCCGTACCGTCTTTCACATGCCGAGACGCTTCGTGTTCGTGAAATAATTAAAGAACTGTTGGACAAAGGCATAATTGAGGAATCTGAGTCGGAGTACGCAAGCCCTATCCTTCTTGTCAAAAAGAAAGACGGGACGGATAGGATGTGTGTAGACTTTCGTAAGCTCAATGATATTACGGTTAAAGATCGGTTTCCATTACCACGGATTGATGACCATATAGACCGCTTAGGACACAATAGGTACTTTAGTAGTCTAGACATGGCTACTGGATTTCATCAGATTCCACTGGACCAGGACTCGGTACCGCTAACTGGATTTGTCACGCCAGAGGGACATTATCAATATTTGAAAATGCCTTATGGTTTGGCAAATGCTCCGGTAGTTTACCAGCGAATCATCGCTAAAACACTTCGCGAGTTCATTGAATCTGGCGATATTCTTGTTTACATTGACGACGTCCTTATTTTAAGTAGAACCATGGATCAGGGTCTAGTTCTGCTCCGCAAAGTTTTGAGTGCATTAACTAAAGCCGGTTTTTCAATAAATTTGAAGAAGTGTTCTTTCTTATCAACTCAGATCGAATACTTAGGGCGTACAATTTGCGAAGGTCAGGTTAGGCCGAGTCACGAAAAAGTTAGGGCTTTGGTTGACACACCTGAACCGCAGAATGTTAAGCAGGTTCGTCAATTCATGGGTTTAGCCAGCTATTTTAGACGTTACATAGCTGACTTTGCCCAGAAAACCGCTTGTATTGCCGCGTTAACTAAACAGGGTGTGAACTTTAACTGGGGATTAGAACAACAAGCTGCTCGAAAGTACATTGTTGAATGTCTGACGAGTGAGCCAGTGCTTGCTATATATGATCCTTCATTGCCAATAGAGGTCCATACGGACGCGAGCTCTATTGATTATGGAGCTGTTTTATTACAAGTACACGAAGGTAATCGTAAGCGAGTGGTATCTTACTTTAGCAGACTTACACAGGGAGCTGAAGGTAAATACCATTCGTATGAACTGGAGACGCTGGCTGTAGTTAAGGCTCTCTAGTATTTTAGGCATTATCTTGTGGGTTTACGCTTTACTGTGGTTACCGACTGCAATGCGTTGAAACTTACCCAGCGAAGAGAGACTTATTGCCTAGGGTGGCCCGGTGGTGGGTGTATCTCCAAGACTTTGATTTTGTCCTACAATATCGCAAAGATACCCTTTTGTCCCATGCCGACTATTTTAGTCGAAACCCAGTCAACATGGTTACCATTCGAAAACCTCTGAATTGGGCTCAGATTGCTCAGGTTAGGAACGATGTACTTTACTTCAAGTATACACCTACTGGAGAAAATCCTAAAATGTTGTTCTTTATCCCTAAAGGCCATTGACTCAGCCTTTTACGTATATTCCACGATGAACATGAGCATCCTGGGGTAGAGAAGACAGTGGATCTTATTATGAAACACTTTTGGTTTCCGGGGTTGAGAGCTTTTGTCTCCAAGTACGTAACGCATTGTTTGGTGTGCCTCTTATACAAGAAAGTTGCCCGCGCTCCCCTACAGCCCATTCATTCCTGGGAGAAACCAGACGTGCCCCTTGATACGATTCACATGGATGTACTAGGTCCATTACCTGAAGCTGACGGTTATCGTTATGTTCTCATCGTGATCGATGCATTTTCAAAGTTTTGTCTATTGTACCCAATGTATCGACAAGATACTGACGAGTTAAAACGTCATTTCACCAACTTCATTTCCCTTTTCGGAACACCCAAGCTAGTCGTAGCTGACAGAGGCCGAATGTTCCAATGTACCGACTTTATCAATTGGGTCAAAGACATGGGTGGTGACACGCACCTGATCACGCCTGAAATGCATCAATACAACGGGTAGGTGGAACGTTACTGTCGCACGGTGCTCAATATGGTGCGCATAGAGTGCAATTATCGACAGCGGAAGTGGCCACATGTGATGTGGAAGTTGCAGTTGATCCTCAATATCACTAAGCATAGTACAACTCAGAATTCAGCCCTAAACTTGTTGATTGGTATTGATGCTGCAACACCACTCATCCGGAGTCTGGTCCGTGACGTCGCTGTTGAGGGTTCCAGCCCGAACAGGGAAGCCTTACGTGAAATGCGTCGCCAGAGAGCATCTGAACTACTGCGTTCGAATCAAGAGCGTCAAGATGCATACGTTAACCAAGGTCGTAAGCCGCCTCGTACTTTTGAAGTCAACTCATTGGTTTTTGTTAGAAAACAGGCACAATCGACTGGGAAGCTGGATTCCTGTATGCGAGGGCCCTACCGCGTGGTGAAAGTTCTTCCCCACGGTCGCTATGAGCTTCAGCTCGTGGCCGGCTCGTACGGGAAATCAACGCAAGCGGCTGCGGAATACATGATTCTGTGGCAAGGAGAGTGGACTCCCGATGTGTGCTCTGCTATGTTTAATGGTGGGTTAATTCATTCATTTTGGCATTTAGTTAATTCATTTTTATTTGAGATTTTGCGGACATGTCTATGCCGGGACCTCTGTCTACTGTTACGTTTAATTTGTAACTTTTTCTGTTTTTTTTTTGTGCGTGAAAGTTTTTTTTTTAAGGGTTGTTGTGCTTTGTTTGTGTGCTCGGACACTGTCTTGGAGTTGCTCAGACATGTGGTCCTGGAGCTGTGTACACGCAGGGTCATGCCACGAGTTGGCCTCTGACGAGTCGTGGTGTGTGTGGCATATGTCTGCGGGGCAGACATTGTCCGTGGTTTTATTGTTGTTAGTTTGGGTTGAAACATGTTTTTATGGGTACCGATTCACACATGCAAAGTTATGTCTCATGTAAGTCCGCATAGACCTCTATCGAGTCATGAGGGTGCACTCCCCCGACGGGAACTGCCCCGGGTGATTGGTACTTATATTTGTATGTTTTATATCCGCTGTGTTTAGACTGTTCTATTTTGTCAGTTTAGCTTACAAGTACATAAAGTTGGATGATAACCTTTTGCGCTGACTAAGAATTTTCTAACTTGGATAATTTCCTTTTGTGAATTTATTCTGTGTTGTGATTTCTTTTTGTGCAGATGCAGAGGACGAGGAGTCGACAACTCCTAGCGTTACCCAGCCTTACAATGTTGACGTTCCTGGTGACGCAAGTGAGCCGCAACCTAGCACGTCAGGGACGCAGATACATGGCGAAGAGCCTGCTGCGTCACCCACCTTCACGTCGAGCGATGACAGCACAGAGCCTTCGATGCCAATGCTGGAGACTGATCTCCAGAGTTAGAAGATGGAGGAGTCCTAGGGCGGTCTCCCGTCAGGAAAGGCCGTGTAGAAGTTGGAAGATAGAAGAGTGAGGAAAACGTATAAAAGGCAGCGCCAGCGCCCGGCGCTCGCTTTTGCTGTTCGGCTGTCATCGGGTCAACATCTCGGCAACGTCATTCTGTCCGTCAGGTTTTTCGTTAGATTGTTACGTAATTGTTGTAATTGTTTTAGAGGTCTTACATTTTTAGTTTTCGTTTCATTTAATTTTGGTTTGTTAAAATTAATTGTTTTCAAAGTAAATTTGATTTGTAAATTGTTTTCTTGAGGGTAGTAATAGATCTGTATTAAAAAAAAATAACTTCTGGTCCTATAAATAAGAATACAATTACAATTTATACATATAATAACATTCTGAGTCGAATCTGTACAATAAATATATTTTAGAAAATTGTCTTTAAATAGCTATTATTATCGATACAGAGGCCGAATCTATGGTTTTTAGAAATTTTTTGTCTGTCTGTCTGGGAACGCATCACGAGAAAACCACTGGACAGATTTAGATGAAATTTGGTATGATGATATCTGGTTATCTGGTTCAACATATATTAAACTTTTTACTACGGGAAAATATTTAGTATATTGTTTTGATGTATGTATGTCTTAAGTTTTAGCCAGCGGAGGATTTTCTAGGGAGGACTCGATAAAACCAGTTATTGTATCTTCCCGTGAGAAAGAAAGATTTTCTTGAAGTAAAAGGTATCCTAAACGTTGACTCGAGTAAAAAGTTATCACTTCACCAAATTTCGTTGAAATCGGTCCATTACTTTTCGCGTGAAACGCGCATACAAACACGGACAAACAGACATACAGGCAAACAGACATACAGGCAAACAGACAAAAAGGCATTTTTTTGAATAACTATTGTTTTGGGGTCTATGTTGTCTACATAATACGTTACAAATAAACAAACACATCTATCATATGGAAACAGTACATTTTTCCGGGATTAAAAGTAACCTATTTGTTATTCTGATGTATGAACTGATGTCGGTCGGTAGTCGGTGTGCTTTGCTTTGTATGGGCTGGCACCGATTTCGAAAATATTTGATTAGGTATGTATAGTAAATGAAAACTACGAATCAGTTATTTTTTACTTTTTAGTGTTATTGTTTGAAGTCGGTTTTTATTTTAAAAACTGTGGAAAGAAAAAATAGATTGGGACGAGCCAGTTTCCTACTCTATCCAAGTTTCTTTGCAAAAGTTCAGCCAGCAGCTTAACACTCTATCATCTCTAAAGGTCCCCAGACGGGCCCTAGCCAATTCAAACAATGTAGAGCTTCATTGTTTTGTGACGCTTCACAGGTAGCCTATGGAAACTGTATCCACCTATGCTCTAAAGACGAGAATGGCAACGTGCATGTCAACTTATTATGTGCCAAGGCTCTGTGGTGATTTCCTTCGAGCTGAATTAAGCTCTGCTGTCATTAAAGCGTTAGGAATCGAACTAAAACGCTGCGTCTTTTGGACTGACTCTTGTGTGGTTCTAGGCTGGCTCAGATCTCCCGATAAAACCAAAACATTCGTAGCAAACAGAGTCGCTGCCATAGGCGAACTCACCGACCCAAAGGCTTGGCACTATGTTCCCACTGCTGAAAATCCCGCTGACCTCGCCTCACAAGAGGTCAATGATTCAACTATATGGTGGCATGGCCCTATGTTCCTCATGCAACCTGAGTCATCCTGGCCAATCTTATCAGCTAGCAATGAAGTCAACTTACCTGAAATAAAAGCGATGCACGCTTTGGTGGCGGAGGATGTACCTGCGGTACCCCTAAACTTTCAAAAATCTTCTAAACTTACTACTCTTCAAAGAGTCTATGCTAGAGTCTTTAGATTCATACACAATTGTAAAAACAGTAATAATAAGCTGACGGGAACTCTACAAATTCATGAACTAGAGAAATCCATGACTGTTCTCACTAAAATAGCTCAAAATGAATCCTTCTCAAAAGAAATAAACTCTCAACAGGCTAAGAAAACCCTCAAGACGAGCACTCATCTCTGCTCATTAAATCCCTTCCTAGATAAGAATGGCTTACTTCGTGTTGGAAGAAGAATTGACACCTCTGCCTACCCCTATGATAAAAGACATCCCATTGCTCTAATGTCAAATCATTATCTCACTAAGCTTATTTTTCAGTATGAGCACATCCGCCTATTGCATGCCGGACCCCAGCTTCTACTCTCCTCTATTCGAGAGCGCTATTGGCCTATAGGAGGTCGCAAGCTCGCACGAGAAGTGACAAGAAATTGCTTAGTTTGTCGTCGCTTCCAAGGCGACACAATGTCTAATATAATGGGCAACTTACCTGCTGATAGGGTAGAGCCTGACTTTCCATTCAGTACTGTTGGCACTGACTTTGCCGGTCCATTCCTAATAACAGATCGCAAAGGACGGGGATGCAAGATGATGATGATGTTCTCGCGCAGTACGCGCAGCCACAAGTGCACTCTCTATTCCTATCACTCTTATACTCCGGTGGAACGACCACTTGGCCCGACCCGGGACTCGAACCCAGGACCTCCGGGTGTGCAACCGTACATGCTAGCCACTACACCACCGAGGCAGTTAAAGATGGATGGAAGGATGCAAGATAACTAAATGTTATCTGTGCATTTTCGTATGCTTTAGATATAAGTGCCTACATATAGAACTAGTGAGTGAACTAACCAAAACTGCCTTTGTGTTAACTTTAAAACGATTTATTGCTCGTAGAGGAATGCCTAGAATCATCTACTGTGATAATGGTCGCAATTTTGTAGTTGCCGCAAAAGAAATTGGTAGTTTTTTGCAAACAAATAGTGACTCTATATGTGACTTTGCTGCCCGGCGGGGCATAGAATTTCGTTTTTCTCCCGTTTACGCTCCTCATTTCAATGGTCTAACGGAGGCCGGTATCAAGTCGGCTAAGTTCCATCTGCACAGAATCCTAGGACAGTCTCACTTGACATTTGAGGAACTGACCTCTGTATTTGCACAGATAGAAGCTATCCTTAACAGCCGACCCCTTTGTCCTATGAGCCCATCACCTACTGATTTCCAGACTCTTACCCCTGCTCACTTTTTGATTGGTAGGCAAATGACGGCGCTACCCTCGCCGAGCTATCTGGACTACGGGACGCATCGGCTCGACTGGTTTCAGGGCCTTGAACAAATCAAGCAGCACTTCTGGAGCCGATGGTCATCGGAATATGTTGGAGAGCTACAGCAGCGTACCAAGTGGCGAGTGAAGTCCCGAGATCTCAAGCAAGACGATCTAGTCTTCATAAAGGAAGCCAATACACCAACCCTATGCTGGCGCCTAGGAAGAGTAAGCAGGCTGCACGTCGGGTCCGACCAAACGCCTAGAGTTGCCGATATAGCCACAGCCAATGGAACTATAAGGCAAGCACTCAATCGCCTGGTTCTCCTATCACCTGACGAAAGCCATGATGCTCGAAAGCTACACTAGAGCTTTCAAGTGCCGAGAAGATGTCGGCGCCACATCGGCACCGAGAATCGGAACGCAGCCGCAGCCCTCACGCTATTGGCTACACGCCGCCCTCACGCTATTGGCTACCACGCACGGCATGACGCGATAACAAGCCAATGACAAGATCGGAAAATCACGACATACGAGCGCCACGTTCTCAACCTACGCTAATGATGCCAACACATTACCACCTGTCACGGCATCGAGCGCGCATCTTGTCCTAAGCTAATTTATTATTTTCTAAACCTCAAATTGTAACCTCAAATTGTGTGTATTTGCCTAAAGTACTAATTATAATTATATCATTAAATCTACGTATTTTATTTAAAATTTGTTCCCTATCACGAACAGATATGTATTTAATAGGTAGGCTTGAATTACTTCGCCAAAGCACACCAACTTCAAAAATATTTGATTAGGTATGTATAGTAAATGAAAACTACCAATCATTTATTTTTTACTTTTTAGTGCTTTTGTTTGAAGTCGGTTTTTATTTTTTTGTTAAAAAGTTTTTATTTTTCCCTTTTTAGTGTAGACAGTAGTAGCAAAGTAAGAATTCTAACGTGTTAGGCTTGTCAAATCAAACAAAATAAGCCCAAACTCAAAGTATCTACTATTAGCCGTTGAAGAGTTCCACCTATCCACCTTCTGGCCTTGCCATCAGATCATGTCAACAACACCGAACCACTGTACTATCAACGGAAATAGAAATACTTGCAAAGTTTCAAGTAAATATGACAATTAAAAGTAGGCTAAATTCATCATTAGCTACTTTTCCACCCTTAGGGGTAGTATTTCTTTTTGAAATTTAAATGAGGCCAACTTGGAAGTATATACTTTCAAACAACACAAAAATTATCCAAATCGGTTAATAAATAACGGAGTTCTGAGGTAACAAACATAAAAAAAAATACAGTCGAATTGAGAACCTCCTCCTTTTTGAAGTCGGTTGAAAATGAATCACTGAATGTGTTGGTAAGCGCAAATCTCGAGAGTAGCTGAACCGATTTCGCTAATTCTTTTTTTAGAATATTCCTTGAAGTGCGAGGATAGTTCTAACGGAGAGAAAAATTTAAAAAATTGCCTGAAAAAGTCTAAAAACAACACTTTTCTATACTCCCATACAAAAGATTCGTAATAATACTTAAAAGTCAACTTGAACTTTAATACTATACCATAAAGTTTAAGTGTTAGTGGAGAGGTTTCGGGAAGGCAAAACAATTGAGTGACGTTAGTATCGTATAAATATTAATGTCAATATTTGTCAATATTATCAACAAATAACATATTCGATAAGACGCCTGAACCGATTTGGAATTTTTTTGTTTTGTTTGAAAGGGTTATACTTCCCAGGTGGACCCATATAAATTTTATCGAAATCGGTCGAGAGGTTTTTAAAAAAATCTACAATAAATATTTTTTTAAACAAATTGCTTAATCGAATATGTTATTAAAAACTTTCTTCCTACAAATTACCTGCTTATTACGTCTACACTAAAAATTTAAAAATAAAAACTTTTTAACAAAAAATAAAACCGACTTCCAGGCACTAAAATGTAAAAAATAACTAAACGGCGGTTTTCATTTAGAATAGATACCTAATCAGATATTTTCGGATTCGGTGCCAGCGGACAATATTTTAAGAAATGAATATCTAATAGGTAAATATGTATTTTACGTATCAAAATATATTAGATTTCCTATGCGTCGGCTGACACCGACTTCTTTAGTTATTTTTTTTTTATTTTAGTGCCTTAAAGTTGGTTTTATTTTTTGTTAAAAAGTTTTTATTACATGTTAGTGCTTGGAAGTCGGTTTTTTTAAGTTTTTATATATAAATCAATAATATCCATAAAATTGACTCACGCTTATGCGCTTCCGTAGTTTTCAAAGTATTTACAACTTAAATGTTCAAAGTAATGCCAAATAAGCAGGCGCTTAAAGGAATCCAACAGAAGGCATTATAAATAACAAATTATAGTTTAATTATATGCCTTCAAATTTTAGGGCGAAACCGATTTGATTGACGGTTGGAGATGAGATAAAGGTTGTATTACATGCTGTTAAAGTCCATAACCGTATACATGTGAATGTTATGTGAAATAACCGGTGATTCTATGCGAAATTTTTTTTTTAATTATTTATTTCCATTCTTATTAAAATTTCATTTTTTATAATAATATTTGACCATTCCATCTTATTATTATTATATGAAAACTGTTCTAAGTGCTTTTGCTCCAAAATGCCATTAAATAACTTAATAACATTATAAAAAATATGTCCAGTACTGTAATTGATCTATTACTGATATGATGTCTTCCCGACCGTTTTCGGCCGCAGCGACCAATCTAACTGAGACTAGCCAACTGCAAGAGATATTATAGTGCAGCGCGTGTACGCGCAGACATAACGTGCACTCTCTACCCCTTATCCTATCAAAGTCCGGTGGGACGATACTTCCGACACTCGCGGTGAGAGTTAAGACGCAGGACCGACGGCTTTACGTGCTCTCCGAAGCAAGGGGGTGAAACACCGCTAACTTTCCAACTCCGGGCTATGAATCTGGACTAACTTGTAACTTCATTAACAGGCAAACTCAATAACTAAACTCGATCAGAACTGGGACGTCCAGATGTGCGGCCGTACATGCTAGCCACTACACCACCAAGGCAATTGAATTACTGATATAATAAAATATAGTGAACTCTGATGTTTACCACAATGAGTAAATAAATATTTCCTTACACGCTACTAATGGTTTTACTCTTACCTAAATAACCGCCAACAATGCATTAGACTCGATGGCAAGCGGACTTCTTGCTCTCGTACCAATGCTGGAGTCCCTCAGGGCGGAGTGCTTTCTCCTGTACTCTTCTCCATTTTCATTAACACTCTCACTAAGCACCTCACTACGTCCTATCATCTTTATGCTGATGACTTGCAGATTTATGCGACTACAAATGTAAATGACATTGCTAAGGCTATTGAAAATATTAATTTCAACCTCGGAATTATTAATACCTGGTGTAAGTCATTTGGCTTGTGTGTTAATCCAAGCAAGTCTCAAGTAGCAGTCTTTGGCCATTCTAAATAACTTTCTAAAATACATATTCCTCTCCTCCCTCCCATTTCATTTAATACAGCAGTAGTGTCAAAAATCTAGGGATCATAATGGACAGTACTTTCTCCTGGACACCTCAAGTTGCTCAACTTAGCCGTAGGATATTTCTTGCTATTGGCACCTTGAGAAGGTGGAAAAACCTATTGCCGATTAAAACTAAAATATTATTAGCCAACTCCCTTTTATTGCCGATACTCGACTATGCTGACTCCTGCTACCTAGATCTATCTCAGCAGTTACTCAATAAGCTTGAGCATCTCCAGAATCTTATTATAAGATATATTTTTGGACTTAGGAAGTATGACCACATTACGCAATATTGGACACAGTTGAGATGGCTAACAGTTCACAATAGACGCAATTTACACGCGCTTTCTCTATTATACACAATCCTTTACCATCCTCCCACTCCCACATACCTCAAAGAACACTTTAAGTTCCTAGGGGCAAGTTCCCAGCTTGCTCTAGAGCTTCGCTCTCGCAGTTAAAGATTACTAGAAATCCCATTAGTCCATTTAAAATCCTATAGTGAATCTTTCACTATTAAGACGGTGAAACTCTGGAATGAGCTTCCAAATGAAATAAGACAGTGGACTGTCTTATCTATTATATTATAATCAGTAAGTATTTTTAAAAAGCGTCTCAAACACTATTTGTGGCTTTACAACTAAGCCTTCATTGTAGTTGCATGTATTATATTATTGTGTACATTATGTATGTTTATTATTATATTATTATGTACTAGCGGCTCACCCTCGCTTCGCTCAGGTTCGCCTCTAGAAAAGCACAAACAGATCTATCCCACGGGAACTTTTTAATTTTCTGGGATATAAAGTATCTAAGATGTTGACCGGGCATATAAGGTACCAACATGAAAATTTTTATTTAAATCGGTCTAACAGTTTCGGAGATTAGCCCCAACAACAGACAGAGAAACAAAAATTTTTAAAAAATCTGGATTTGTTCTATTTTTCTTCTTACGGGATGTAAGAAGATAACTGACTCGGTTTTTAGCTTTTTTTTTCTATGTACAGATATTCGACATCTACAGTCTTATTATATTTATAGATAGAATAAATAACGTATAATAAAACAGTAATATATAACAATGAAACTAGTTATAGCGAGTGTACCTTAGGAGATAGACGTATACTATTGAGAACTTTTCTATCGATCTTTTTAAGACTTACAATTTTCTTGTACAATGTATATAAACGTGGGAATGAATAATTTGCCTATCGTATAATGTATCCTAAATGTTGACCCGAGTACTAAGTTATCACTACACAAAATTTAGTTAAAATCAGTTCAGTACTGTTTGCGTGAACGCACACATCGATTTGACTAAGTTACTTTTATTATAGATAGATAAGAATAGATATTGCTTAGGAGATATACATATACTATTCAGAACTTTCCTGTAGGACTTTTCAAGACCTAAAATTTTTTAGTATATTGTTTTGATGTATGTTTGTCTTAAGGCTTAGCCAACGGAAGGTTTCAAGGGAGGACTCGATAAAACCAGTTATTGTATCTTCCCGTGAGAAAGAAAGAATTTCTTGAAGTAAAAGGTATCCTAAACTTTGACTCGAGTAATAACTTATCACTTCATCAAACGTTGAAATCGGCTCATTACTTTTCGCGTGAAACGCGCATACAAAAACAGACAAACAAGCAAACGGAGAAACAGACAATTTTTTTGATAACTATTGTTTTGGGGTTTATGTTGTGTACATAATACGTTACAAATAAACAAAAACATCTATCCCACGGGAACCGTATATTTTTCCGGGATAAAAACTAACCTATGTGTTATTCTAATGTATGACCTATATTATTGTAAAGTTTCATCAAAATCCAATTAGTAGTTTTTGTGTACTAAGCTTTATACGTTATTATAGTTTTTTGACTGTCCCACGGGAACCCTTTAATTTTCCGGGATGAAAAGTAAGCAATTTGTTGTTGTCATGTATGAACTATATTATTGTAAGGTTTTATTCAAATCCATTCAGTAGTTTTTGTGTACTAAGCTGTATAAGTTATTATAGTTTTTTAAATATCCCACGGGAACTATTTAATTTTTCGGGATAAATAGTATCTAAGATGTTGCCCGGGGATATAAGGTACCACCATAAAAAGTTTCATTTAAATCGGTCCAATAGATTCGGAGATAAGCCCGTACAAGAGACAAACAGACAAACAGAGAGAAACAAAAAAATTGAAAAAAATCTGGATTTGTTCTATTTGTCTTCTTACGTCCCCCTGACTCGGATTTTAGCATTTTTTTGCTATGTACAGACATTCGACCTCTACTGTTTTATTATAGTATGTATTTTTATGTATGTTTATATGTAATACGTTTATTGAGTACACTTTATGCACCTTTCCGCTTTCTGTTAATTTTTGTATCCTACTTCTAGCGGTTGCCTGTAAGAGATCACTTTTAGTGATAAGGCCGCCTTTGCACATTTCTTTAAATGTATTTTTTTTGTATGTACCATTTTTATTTTTGCGTGCAATAAAGTGTGTAAATAAATAAATACAAATAAAATATAATAAAAGTATAGAAGACATAGAGATTAATTTGACTTTCACAGAATAATAAATTTTGATTATATTTTAGTTTGTAGTCGTATTAGTGATTATATAAACCAGGCTTTATCAGGCATTCGTATATGAAATCACCTTTATCTTTTTTCTTCGCAGTCAAATATTTATTTACGACCTCAAAACTTAGGCACGGCATTAGAATATTTAAAAAAACTTGCCTTCTAAAATAACAGAACTATCGTTGAACTAATATTTATACTTACATATTATATTATAGAATAATGTGTCTCACTTCTGTCAATAGTACAAAAAGCCGCTTTCGCCATTAAAACCATTGAATGGACCATTTAGTATATTTAAATTATAACCTACATACTCATTCATATCTGTAATTACAATACAAACATACATTGGAGTATTTGCCTTTCTAGAGTAATCCATATCCATACTTAATATATGTAATTTAATATTATAAATGTGAAAGTGAGTTTGTTTGTTTGTCCTTCGTTCACATCGATACATAGTGACGGATTGTCATGATTTTTTGTGTCGAAATACTTTGATGACTGGACAGTCACATAGGCTACTTATTATCGCGGGAGATTATCTCCTTCAAAAAGGAAAAAACTTAATATAACACAACCCACAACAACTCATAATACCTATGTATATATATATCCTAGCCGATTCCGGCCACGGCGGCCAATCTCAACGAGATTAGCCAACTGCGCAGGAGATATTATAGAGCTCAAGTGTACGCGCAGACACAAGTGCACTCTCTATTCCTATCACTCTCATACTCCGGTGGGACGACCACTCGACACGACCGGTGAGAGTTAAGGCGCAGGACCGATGGCTTTACGTGCTCTCCGAGGCACGGGGGTGAAACACCGCCAACTTCCCAACTTCGGGCTGTTACTGAGACTTACTATACAGGAAGACTCAATAACTAAACTTGGCCCGACCCGGGACTCGAACCCAGGACCTCCGGGTGTGCAGCCGTACATGCTAGCCACTACACCACCGAGGCAGTTAAGTTTGCTTTGTATGGGCTGGCACCGACTTCGAAATATTTGATTAGGTATGTATAGTAAATGAAAACTACCAATCAGTTATTTTTTACTTTTTAGTGCTTTTGTTTGAAGTCGGTTTTTATTTTTTTGTTAAAAAGTTTTTATTTTTCCCTTTTTAGTGTAGACAGTAGTAGCAAAGTAAGAATTCTAACGTGTTAGGCTTGTCAAATCAAACAAAATAAGCCCAAACTCAAAGTATCTACTATTAGCCGTCGAAGAGTTCCACCTATCCACCTTCTGGCCTTACCATCAGATCAGGTCAACAATACCGAACCACTGTACTATCAACGGAAATAGAAACACTTGCAAAGTTTCAAGTCAATATGACAATTAGAAGTAGGTTAAATTCATCATTAGCTATTTTTCTACCCTTAGGGGTGGTATTACTTTTTGAAATTTAAATGGGACCAATCTGGAAGTATACACTTTCAAACAACACAAAAATTGTCCAAATCGGTTAATAAATGACGGACTTCTGAGGTAACAAACAAAAAAAAAAATGTGTGTGTGTGTGCGTATGTGTGTGTGTGTGTGTGTGTGTGTGTGTGTGTGTGTGTGTGTGTGTGTGTGTGATGTGTGTGTTCTAAATTTATGAATAGGCAGGCAAGCGGATGTCAATGTTTTAATTACACCATTATAGATATGCACTAAATCGGTTTCTGTAGAAGCTCCAGTCAGTAGATCATCCATGTAGAAATCATGTTTAATTACTTCTGACACCTTAAGGTCAGTGCACTCAATGGCTAGCTTTCGTAGACACCTTGTACTTAAAAAAGGTGCTGAAGCAGTACCGTATGTTACAGTGTTAAGCTGTAGAGTGTTAATTGGCCTTGACTCATCATCGCGCTACAGTATAAGTTGTAAATGGCGTTGAGATTGTTTTAGTTTAATTTGTCTATACATTTTTGATATATCTCCTGTTATAACGTATCTGTGCTGTCGAAAACGTATGAGAATATTAAATAAATCATCCTGCACCACTGGACCTACACCTTGAATATCATTTAAGGAAATATTTGTACTGGTCTTTGCCGATCCATCAAACACCACGCGCAGGCTTGTTATGCTGCTTGCATTTGTGGTTGTTATATCACATGACTCTCGAATGACTGCATGATGTGGCATGTAATATCCGAAGGCTGGCCTTGTTATATTACTTAAGTGACCAAGCGCCTCGTATTCATGAATAAAGTCGCTATATAGTTTTTTAAGACATGGATTTTTATTAAGTTTTTTCTCGAAGCTTAAGAACCGCCTCTCTGCCATGTTATATGAATCACCTAACACCTTATGAGGATCTTCTAGCATAGGCATTAAGACTGAGAATCGACCGTTAGGTAGTCGTGAGGTATTCTCAAGAAAATGGTTTTCACAAAACTCATGTTCCACGGATAGAGGCACATTTGAAGACTGGATTTCCTCAAGCATCCAAAACTTGGCTAAATCGTCGCTGATTTGCTTTGTGAAGTTGCAGTGTACCCTATTGCTTACTTTTTTAGGTTTAATGTAATTACGCCCGTCAAGAGGATCGGCCACTATCCATCCAAGCTTCGTATCCTGAAGGATGGGCATGCCCGTGCCTAGGCGCATTTGATGAGAAGAAATAATATTAAAGAACATGAGAATATCAATTTCAGAGGGCTGATAAAATTTAGGATCAGCTAACTGAATTGTATCTGTTAAGTTAAGCTGCGCAACATTCACAGGAAAGTTAGGTAAGTGACCAGTAATTTTAGGCATCACTAAACATTTAAGGTGAGTACTAAAGGTTGTGACTAATGATTTAAGTGTCACATTACATATATCAGATACATAAGATGTAGTATTATTTATTCCTGTTATACAAGAATTATTATTTGTACTATTTAAACCCATTTTTTCTTTCAGGTTTGCTGTAATGAAGGATGATTGACTACCTGCGTCGAGTAGAGCACGAGCAAGGTAAGTATTTTTATTTCTAGGATTTACTACGTGAACCATGGCTGTACCTAAGAGGACCTGACCTGTAGACTGAGCTGACAGTGAAAGTGAGACATTATTCGTTTTATTGTTATCTCTATTCGTACATAATAACGTATTATGTTTTTCCTTACAGATCCTACACGTACCCAAGCGGCAATCATTAGCAGTATGACCTCTTCGTAAACAATTCAAACAGAGATTAAGTTGTATGGCCCTGTTTAACCTGTTCTCCTGAGTAAAATTTCCTAAATTCGATGCAATCAATAATTTTATGTCTTTGATTACAGGATGGACAACTCAAAACCAATTTTGAAGAAGCAGCTAAACTTTTATGATGCTTATGCTGAAATGATGTATAATAAGTGACTTCATGTTTTTTATGTTCTCGCTGAACTACAGGTTTTTCTCTCTTATTACCTAACATCGTTTCGAGAATGTCCGCTCGGTTACGCAAAAACTGAATAAATTCTGATAACGTAGCCACGTGCAATGCGTTATTTTTAAGCTCTTCCCATTTCCTAAGTGTGACAGAATCTAACTTGGTAGTCATCAAATAAATTATTAAAACATCCCATTTATCGGTAGGCTGCTAATGTCTCTAAGGCTCTTAAGTTTTTCAAAACATGATCAATTAAATATCGGATAGCTTTAAACGACTCACGCGTAATAGGCTCAATGTTAAATAATGCCTTCAAGTGATTATTTATTAGGATTTTTTTATTATCATACCTACTACACAATAAGTCCCATGCTACATTATAATTTTGGGAAGTAAATTCAATTGATTTAATTATAATTGCAGCACTGCCCTCTAGATAGGATCTCAGGTAGTGAAATTTATTTATGTTAGGTATCGAGACTTCAGAATTAATTAACGAGTCAAAGGTATCCCGAAATTCCAACCACTTTAGGTAATTACCATCGAAAGTAGGTAACTTAATTGTTGGTAATTTAATGTTGTTAAAACGATTACACGTACCTCCTGTGGAAACTTCACTACGCGAACAACTATCCCTTCTATCGTTTTTCGTTTCATGTAATCTAGTGTATGTTTCAATTAATTCCTGTGCTGCAGAAATTATCGCATAATATGTAGATTTGAATAAATGTCTTTCTTCCTGTTGGGATACATCATCCACCAAAATTTCAACTTTAGCCTGAACCTTATCAAATTCCAAAAATATGTTTTCTATTTTATGTAGCCTATTCGAAACCTCCCTAATATGCACGCTAGGAATGTCGCCGATTGAAAGTTGAGCTAACGAGTCTATAAATTGTTTGAATTTAGTCAAACGTCCCTTTGACACACCGCGTGAGGCGATGAGCTCTTTTAATTTCGGTTGGTCAACCTCACCGGATTTGTTAGCAATTGACATATTAGAATAAAGGTAACAAAATTAAATAAAATAATATAATAATAATGGGCCTAATAAATTGAGCAAAATAAAAATGATGATCATAAATCAAACCACTGATGAAAAAAATAGGCTTGAGTCTTCGTTCCGGTACGGCACGGTGACTGGCTGCCGCGCTGGACGCGGAACGGGCAATTTATTCATAGTATTAAAAATGAATTATTGTTATTATTGTATTATTATTATTATGATTTTTTTTATTATTATTATTACTACTATATAGTTCACACCCCTTCCCTCTTACAGTTTGTCAATTCCAACACCTTAAGGTTGCCTGGAAGAGATCGCTATTTTAGCGATAAGGCCGCCTCTTGTACATAACTCTTTTTATATATTTCTTGTATTTTTTTTTCTTTTTTCTCTTGTGGGTGTACAATAAAGAGTATTTATTATTATTATTATTATTATATTTTTTAAGCTTTAAAATCTCTTCAATTACGAAGGTGATTTTTACTATACACGGGCCTGAGCCAAGTGTAAAGTAAGGGAGGGGGAAATTTAAAGGGGTAACTAGGATTGTGACAAAAACTTTCGTACTAATCGGCATGTGTTTAAGATTACTGCTTTCTGAAGAAGTATGTATGTGGAAGGATGAATATTAAGAATTTTAAGACTTTGATGTAGTGTTTTTGGAATAACTCCAGTGCTAGATATAATAATAGGTACGATTTTAGTGGAATTTACTTTCCATTGGGTTTTAATCTCGATCGCCAAATCTGTGTACTTTGATATTTTTTCAGTATAAGTCAAAGCTAAATTATGTGTATTGCAGATCGAAATATCAATTAAGTAGACAGAATTACATTCTTTATCAAAAATTGTTATATCTGGTTATGTATTGTTTTGTCGGTGACTATAGTTCTGTCCCAGTAGATTTTACATTTATTGTTCTCTAATACTGACTGCGGTTCATATTTATAATAGGGTAATTTTTTCGGGAGTAAATTATTCTGAAAAGCTAGGTTTTGATGTATTATAGCTGCTACTTGATCATGACGATGTTTGTAGTCACTTTGTGCTATAGATTTACAGGCACCTGTTATATGCTGTATTGTTTCAGAGCTACTATGACAATGCCTACAGATATCTATTATATTTGGTCTTCGAATAATATATTTTTGATAATTTTTAGTGTCTATTACTTGATCTTGTTTGGCAAGCATGAAACCTTCAGTCTCAGGGAAAAGATGACCTCGCTTAAGACAAGCGTTCGACGCTATTAAATCGACATGTGGCTGCTGTAAGTCGTGGCGATGTCTTCCATGTAGAGACTTTTCATTCCATGCTGCAATTTTATCTTTATTTTGAGTAATGGTATGAAAGATTTGACTTCTTCTATCCTGTAGATTAAGAGGTGTAAAATGCTTGTCTGCTTCTACTATACTTTTATGAAATGTAGATTGCTCTGCCTGCTCGTGAAAAAAATGTCGTAATGTAGCTATTTGTTTATTGTATAAATTGGAAATGTCTATTAAGCCTCTACCTCCTTCTTCTCTAGGGAGCGTCAGTCTTTGTATACAAGATCTTGGTTGATGCTTACGTTGTTTTGTCATTGAAGTACTAATTAGACGCTGTAACTTTATTAAATCAGTTTTAGTCCAAGAAATGATTCCAAATGAATATGTAAGTATCGGGATAGCGTAAGAATTAATAGCTTTTATAGTGTTAGCAGAGTTCAAGTTCGTTTTTAATACTGAACAAAGTCTATGTCTAAATTTGCGGATAAGTTCTGCTTTCGTATGTTTTTGAAGAATTTGTCGGTCTTGTTGGAATCCTAAATATTTGTATGAATTGTTTTGATCTAATGGGTCAATTTTTTCTCCCGTATTTAAGATATAATCATTTAATTGAAGTCTACCTTGACAAAAAGAATAGGTTTTGCATTTTTCTATCCCGAATTCCATACATATATCGTTTGAAAATTGTTTAGTTATATTTGCGAGTTGATGTAAGGTATTTACGCTATGGCTATATAATTTTATGTCATCCATGTAAAGTAAATGTGAAATTAAAACAGAAGGGTGTGATTGATCTTTTGCAATTGTGATGCCAAAATTATGTTTATTTAATAAATGTGAAAGAGGGTTTAAAGCGAGACAAAACCAAAGAGGTCTTAAGGCGTCTCCTTGAAATATACCGCGTCTAATTAAAATTTCATCTGTTTCAATTTCATTTCCTGCTGTAAGTTTTGTTCGCCATTGCTTCATTGCATGTGATAAAAAAGTAATTAGTGTTGGGTGTATATGGTAAAGTTGGAGAACTTCCAGAAGCCAGCTATGAGGTACTGAATCAAAGGCTTTTTGATAATCTACATACATAGTAAATATGTCCTGTTTATTTTCATATGCTTGTTTCATTATAACCGAGCCTATTATAAGTTGTTCTTTGCAGCCTTGGCTGTTCTTACGGCAGCCTTTCTGTTCGTTAGCAAGGATATCGTTGCTAGTGACGTGTTCATTGATAAGAGCTGCAATACATGATGTGAGAAGCTTATAAAATGTTTGTAAACAAGTTACAGGTCGGTACATAGCTGGGTTCTGGGTTTGACAACTGTCCTTTTCAATCATGAATGTCAAACCTTGCGTTATATAATTTGGCATAGAATCTGGATTTTCGATGAATCTGTTTATGTGTGTTAGCAATAGTGGATGTAAAGTCGTAAATTTTTTATACCAGTAGTTGTGTATGTGATCTGAGCCAGGGGTTTTCCAATTATGTGTTTTGTTAAGAACTTGCACAAATATTTCTAAAGGTACTGCATTAAATATCATTTGAGGAATATTATCTTTTTCTGATATTGTTTGTATCCAGTCAGCTTGCTTATTATGTTGTACCGGGTTTGTCCAAATACCTGACCAATAATTTTGAAATTGCTCTTTTGTAGGTAGTCGATTTGACGATGTATTTTGTTGTATATTGATAGTGTCTTTATTTAGGTTCCTATAGAAATTTTTTTGGTTATTAGCAAATTGTCTATTTTGTGTCTTTCTTAAAGTGCAATTTTCATATCTTCTAAGTCTGCTAGTCTTAGCTGAAAGTCTTTGTTTTAAGCTATCAAGATACTGTTCATTTGAGATATTCGGTTCCTCATACCGTGAATGCAATTTAAATTTTTCTTTAATAGCTGCTATTTGTGATGTAAGTCGGTTATTTCTATTTCCTCTAATATACTGGGTCATTCTTCCAATGTCAGCTCTAAGCGATTCTATTTTTTTCTGTAATCTTATTTTCCAAGATGGTATTTTTATATTTTTGCTATTTGATGGAGAGGATTGTGTATTTTTAATTTTAGAACCATTGCACACTGCTGCGGAATAAGCTGCACAGTAGATTATAGTTTGTAGTGTATTGTAATTAACGTTTGTTGAAATGTATTGAGGGAGGATTTTCTTATCTAGGTAATGGACAATATATGTTAATCTTTTCGATGTTTTCTGTTTCGGTATAAATGGTCTTTTAGTCGGATCAGTATTTTTATAATTATTAAGTGATGTTTGAAATATTTCCTGTATTTTGTTATTAAAATCTGACGAAGTCTGATAATTTAAAAATGTATTAATAGTATTATGTGATTCAGTGTAATTTATATTTGAATTTTGTGCATTACCATTTGGCAATGTCATCGGTGTTAGAGGACTTTGATTATTGTATCCGCTATTTTGTCCAGTTAGCGTTAATCTTTCCTGCTCATCGGATGTTACTAATGTTTGTTCTACTTCCTTTCGGATTTCTTCTATTCTTGCTGGCGATAAAAGTCGATTATTTACAATCACACGTCTCTGATCTGCTATTCGTTGCTCGGATACATGTGATATTTGTGGGTATAGTTCTGTTATTGTAGTATGTAAAGGCTTTCGGTAAGATGTTCTATTGGAATCCAAACTGGTTATTTTAAAATATGTCCGTATTATAGCTTCATTGATGTCTTCTGTCCACTTTATTCTTGTAGATGATGAATTTGTAGTAGTTATAGCACTTTCAGTTAATAAAGATGTCACGGTACTAGATGAATAAAGCGTTTTTTCTACATCTCCTTTTATTTCATCTAAAACATTTTGCGGTAGCAGTTTATTTCTTACAATAGCCCTACGTTGATCCCCTATCCTTTGCTTTGAAACATCGTAATTTGGATATTTGTCAGTAAATTTTTTATGTAGTATATCTAAATGTCCACGTATTTTCGTCTCTATTTCTGTAACTTCAAGATATGTACGCCATATAAATTTATTCATATCTGAACTCCACTTTTTTCGCGTACGATTTTGGCCAGCGGTGGGTACAGCTTTTACAGCGGGTGCCATCTGTACAACATCCTCTGGACCATCAGAAATAGTTGATGAAGAGCTCGGCCTATCATATAAATCAGACAGACGTACTGATGATGTAGGAGAAGGAATGGAAATTTGACTGGGCGAAGATAATACCTCCTTATTTTCTGTGAGTTCTTTATTACTATTTTTTTCATTGCAGGAAATTATTTTTCTTCTTCTTAGATTGTATCGTGTAACCTGATTATTTATTATTTGCTCTTCGTCGTTCTTCCTATCAGTTTCTTTATCAGCGTCCATGGGCATAGCAAAAGTCGTTTGATGGTTTGAGACCGCCACCCGGAGATTCTTCTCTCCCCTGACCCCTCGAGGTATCTGCCTACCATCATTGGCATCCCTGTCGGAGTCCCCGGGTACTTGGGGATGGGCTGTTGGTCGCATCTTCATAATTTTATTTGGAATCTAAAACCCACCGTGCGTTTCCAGGACACGAGGGTGTGTAGTGAGCTATTAATAAACTCGTAGGCGCCACTGTTGGTATACTAGATACTCCTCCACTGCCGCCTTAAACCGCCATCCTACACTAATGACGATTGTTCTGCCTTCGCCTCTGTTAAACACCGTGTGGGTGTTTTTTTTTGAGCCTAGAGACAGCTTATGTTGGTAGATATCCCGCTACCAGACGGTCGCCAGAGCCTCGTTAGTTAGTGGCAGGGTGCACCACGGGCAGGTGGGGTTGGCATTTGGGATAATTTGAAACACTTACATTATTATCCCCTTACACCCCTTATTATTATTATTATTATGGCGGCAAGCGGCAAGCGGAGAAACAATCACTGTGACTGCCGTCGACACTAGAAATTTCCGTTATTTTTACGTGAACAAATGAATTAAAGCGTTGCGCCAAACACAGTATCGACTTTTCAAAAGGAAAGAAAAATATTCATTTAGGCAAATAACAATAAAATATTATACATGTATTCCGTTAAATAAAGTAAGTCTAATGTACAATCATGGGTATTTAAATCTGATAATTTAAATAATTATATAGTTTATAGTGTAAATGTTCATATATTGTACCTATATCTTAAATTGGTGAACAAGTTATGCACAGTTATGCGATAGAAATCAATTTAAAAAATAGGTATATGTAGGTGCTTATGCAATGAATGTGCGTATTTAATTAAGACGCGACAGCAAATTGCATACAGCTTTATGTACCTAGTACTTATTTTAAGCAAGCACTAGTTGCATTATGCTATTATGAATTGCAATGGAAAACAAATTATGTACAACCGATAAGCACAAGCAAAGAATTATGAATTATGCATAATGATTAATCTCACTCAGTCGAAGTTTTGCACACAAATATAAACAATTTAAAGATAGGAAAAGATTTGTAAAGGAATAAAAGGAACGAGCACTCCCCTGACAATTATTGCTGACTTTAGGTATGTAGGTCCATACGCTGTCGTCTAACGGTAATCGCCCGGCCGACACGACGCGTCGACGCCTGGAAATTTCTAGAAATTTCTACTCCCGTCCGGCCGTTGTTTCAATATGTTCCAATGATATCCTTGCAGCCGGGTCCTGTCACGGTCGCCAATTGTTGAAGATGATGATGATGGAATATAAATCAATTAGACATTCCTCTTATGCAGTACTTTATTACAGTGATTATAATGTATGCGCTTGCGCTAGGCTCGCTCGCTGAAGAATGAAGTCCTCCGCCGCGCCGCGGCCGACGCGTCCGGCCCCGTCTCCCCTCCGGTCCCCGCTCTCGTTTCGCTAGTGATGTGCGTTAACTTTAGTGATGGGCGTTACCATATGTAATATTGGTTTAATCTATCCAAATCGCTCTGAATCATTGCGCAGTCTTCGATGTTAATAATTTTTAAATAATTTTTTTTGTCATTGGCAAACATTAAAAATTTTGAAAAATTAATGCAGCTACCTTCGTCAAAAAGGTATGAGTTATAGAGGAGTGGGCCCAAGTGCGAGCCCTGCGGTACACCTGAAGTAATATTAACGTAGTTAGAGCGACACCCACCTATTCTAACAGCCTATTTCCTGTTAGTTAGGACTTTATCCGTCGAAATAGATCCACCTGTATCCCTAAAGCTTGTAATTTCTGCAGCAGGATGACGTGATCCACACGATCAAACGCTTTTTCAAAATCAGTGTAGATCACGTCAACTTTGTTACCCTCTTCCATACAATTTAAAATATCATCTGTAAAGACAGTAAAATTTGTTCTAGCTGATCGCTTTTTCATAAATCCATGTTGATTGCTAGGTATGACTCTTGCGAGAACAGGATATAACTTACGATATACTAACTTTTCAAGGGTTTGATTTGATAAGCCTAACACTTTAGAATTCTTACTTTGCTACTACTGTCTACACTAAAAAGGGAAAAATAAAAACTTTTTAACAAAAAAATAAAAACTGACTTCAAACAAAAGCACTAGTACAAGTAAAAAATAACTGATTGGTAGTTTTCATTCACTATACATACCTAATCAAATATTTTCGAAGTCGGTGTGCTTTGGCTAAGTAATTAAAGCCTACATATTAAATACATACCTAATCAAATATTTTCGAAGTCGGTGCCAGCCCATACAAAGCAAAGCACACCGACTTCGAAAATAATTGATTAGGTATGTATAGTAAATGAAAACTACCAATTAGATATTTTTTACTTTTTAGTGCTTTTGTTTGAAGTCGTTTTTTTTTGTTAAAAAGTTTTTATCCTTCAATGTTAAGACAAGTGGTAATCCTGTTCGAAATGATTCGCATGACATGAAAATCAAATTAGAGTTGCGAGACCCGGGATTTGAACCCGCTTCACTCGATTACCAATACTTTTACTAGAGGACTTGCTGTCTCGATCATGACTGAAAACATCATATCGTTCTTCAATTATTTCAGGAGATAAAAAACTATCATTTAATAGATACATTTTTTTTAAATAAAAGGTAAAATTATTGTTCAAAGAGTATTTGTTGTGTAATCCTATTAATATTGTAAACGAGTAAAGTAAAGATGTTTTGAAATGAAACTATCTTTTCGGATTTTGCCGCAGGTTTACTTTATGTTAGCTACTTACCGTCGCTTCGCTCGGTTGCGTCTCTAGATACGCGCATTTTGTTCTCAATTTCAGGCGTTTTATTTTTTTGCACAGAATCCTAGTTCTTTTTGTAAAATAAAAGTAGCCTAAGTTTTGCTAGTGAAAGTTCCATAAAAAGCGGTACAGCCGTTTCGGAGATTAGCCGAAAGAAATAGACAGATAGAAAAAAAGTATTTTTTTTAAATTATGTACTGCATATACTTTTATATTTAACATATTTAGTAAAAAAGCTTTTATTTCGACATTAGAAACAGACACTTTTCTTTCAATCAATTTCACAATTTTGTCATTTTAACTATGTTATGACCTATGAGACATCTAAAACCTTAGTTTCTCCCGTGACAATGATGCTGTAAAGATTTCGAAACGTCGGAATCTAGAATTCAAATAAATCCGCAAAGAAATCCGAAAAGTTAGTTTTATTTAAAATTAAAACTTATCACATACGCAAAAGAAGTAACATACACACACGAAGTTAGGTAAAACAGAACGTTTTACTTATTTTTGTTTTCTGTATTTACAAAGTATGCGGGGGTATTTTAATAGCTCAGCTCTGAGAAATGTTCTAAAGGTGCATATGAGATGGCAAATGTTAAGGAAAATTAACCCTTTCGAGGAGTGTCAGTCACTTCCTTACTATGGGATTTCTAAAGTCTCAGAAATAATCAACAGTTTTAATTGCAATATGCAAAATTTGTGGATAGCGGATGCATTTTTTATATCATTCTATACTATCAAATTATCCTCGCTTCGCTTGGGTGCGTCCCTAGCTACGCGGATTTGTTGTTCGCAATTTTATAAGTTTTATTTTCTCTGCGCGGAACCCTAATCCTTTGTTTAAATAAAAGTAGCGTAAGTTACTCCTTATAACATCAGCTATCTTATATATATATGGCTTAAATCACGTACTACCGATCATGCCGGGAGATCTGTTCACGATTTCGCATTGGCATATGATCTGACACAACTGGTTACCTCGCCAACGCGAATCCCTGGCGTCCTACCCATGGGGGTAAATTTGCTTCTCGCCAGATGATCCAGACGTCGTCGCTGACTCTGTCACCGATGTGGTACTTCAGGGTATGGAACTATTTATTCCGTTCTCTGCAGTGCCCATCGGAGGCAAATCCCAGCCTTGGTTTGGTCACTCCTGCAAGACGGCATCTCGCCGAAAGCTGGAATGCTACCAAGCCTGGGCTGGCGCATCGGTGTCTAGTGATGTAAATACGAGCGCCTTTAAAAAGGAGTATAACTCTGCCTCCAGGTCCTTCAAAAATAGTATCGCTAATGCGAAGTTGAAGCACATCGGCAGAATTGGCAAGAGATTGGGGCGTCTCCCTACAGGAACACGTGCGTTTTGGTCTCTCTCCAAAGCTGTTTTAGGGAATTTCTGTACGCTTTCTTTTCCACCTCTGCACACGGAGAATGACTCGCTGGCTCATACCGCGAAGGAGAAAGCCGAACTACTGGGCACTGTCTTCGCGTCCAATTCGACTCTGAATGACCAAGGAAACTCACCACCGACAATCCCGCGGTGTGATACTACCATTCCGGAAGTTCAGTTCCGGCAAAGTGCAGTTCGGAAAGCACTTCTTTCCTTGGACATTCATAAGTCGAGTGGGCCCGATGGCATCCCTCCGGTCGTGTTGAAGACATGTGCTCCGGAGTTGGCACCGGTCTTAACGCGTCTTTTCCGGTACTCCTATTCACTAGGCGTAGTCCCGAAATCCTGGAAGGCCGCTTTAGTGTACCCGATCCCAAAAAAGGGGCAACCGCTCGAATCCGTCCAATTACAGGCCTATAGCCATTACCTCCTTGTTCTCTAAGATAATGGAGTCCATTATTAACTTCCAGCTCTTGCGGTATCTAGAAGAGCACCGACTGATCAGCGACCGCCAGTACGGCTTCCGTCGGAGGTCGTTCAGCCGGTGATCTTCTAGTTTACCTAACACATAGATGGGCAGAAGCAGTTGAGACCAAGAGGGAGGCGCTTGCAGCCAGTCTGGATATAGCGAAGGCCTTTGATCGGGTATGGCACAAAGCGCTTCTTTTGAAGCTACCTTCCTATGGACTCCCCGAGAAATTTTGCAACTGTATCACCAGCTTTTTGGCAGATCGGTGCATCAAGGTCGTTGTCGATGGTGCTTGCTCTGATCCTAAATATGTCAATGCTGGTGTTCCACAAGGCTGCGTACTGTCTCCTACTCTGTTTCTTCTGCATATCAATGACATGTTGCTAATCAGCAACATTCATTGCTATGCAGACGATAGCACTGTGGATGTCCTGTACACTGGCCGCGCCAATATTTCTCGGGAAT